ACCATTTCTGTATGTATGTACTGGCTGCTGTTTCTGCTTTTTATGGTTAGGCTAGACAATAATGGTGTTGGAAAGGAAAAATAAAGTCTGTGAAGCCCTTAAAGAGGCAGTGACTTATACAAACTGTAGAATATCTTGGATGACTTTGCTTTCCTGGCCTCCAGGAAGATACTCCTACCTTGAGACAAAATACAGATTGAGAAATGTAGTCGCTGAAGCTTATGAAGCTAAGCCAAAGTCTATTAATGCATATGAGACCAGCTGGCTGCTTTGAGGCAGCCTCAGAACCCAAGAAAAGAAATAGCCTACTAAGTCATGTACAAGTCTTTGGAACCAAGGAAACTTGGGCATCATTTATTTGCAAAAGTCCTTATACTGATGGAGTGAGGATGGAATACATCCTGAAATTGACCACTTAGTCCCTTCAGAGTCCAGGTATCCAAATGTAGGAACCAGCACCCAGTTTTGCAGTGTGTACCAATACCACCTGGGAACACATCCAACTTCCCACTGTTGCATATTTGACCTGAACTCAGAATCTTTTTGTCACCCAGAGAGTAAATAGATCACTCCTTTTCTTTTAAGGGTAAAATAAACAATAAGATACAGGTAACATGAACTTTTATTACTAATATGATTGGAACTAGTATTCATTTGAAAATGTAAAAGTTAAAAAAGCACCTCCTACTGGAAACAAAAGCGTTCATTTTTCTGATAAGCATAATTTATTGTATTTCTGTTGTAACAAAAACACTATGTACTTCCGTTGGGGTGGCAAAAGGAAGAAATCATTTTGCTATATCTCTTTGCTGTCTGCAGAATAAAACACTGTCCATGTTTAAGAAACTGAAGATGAGAACACAACAAAAACACAACAATCTTTTTATTTATGTAAATCAGGTTAACACTGGACAATAAACCAATTTCTACCCAATACCATAACAGCTTTCTATAAAGAACAGAAAAATTCAGATAGGATTCTACCTAGGGTCAAGCGGTTTTTCTTTTTTTAAAAAACCACCCATTCACAGAGGTATAGATTCACAGATAAATAATCCCAAACTACTTGCCCATCATATTTACACATTCCCATTAAATTAAGCATAAATAAATATATACAAACTTAACACGGATACCCTCCAGAGAGCTCTCAAGAAGAGGCCCTTGGTATTCCTTGACTGGGTGGTTAAAAACAATGATAGTGAGTTAGAGACGAACTCAAAAGGGGAGTCGTTTGCCATTTAAAGAAGAAATGGTGTTCATTCCTTTTTTTTTTTCTTAAAGAAAATGAACGAATTTCAATGCTTCTCTTTTCTTTCACCAGTAATTTAATATACATCAGCAAAGGAGGGAAACCTTGTCAGAACTCTTGAGGCAGTGCTGGATGGTTTAAGGTCATTTTCTTTCCACATAATGCACTGCAAGTACAGGATATCAGGTGTGATGATTCAAGTGCAAGGGGAGAACTATGCAGAGAAGTTAGGGGGTTGGGAGTTTCCATTCTACCGGCGTTTTCATAGGATGTGAAATAGTTGCTCAAGAGAAAGTGGTTTCCTTGGCCAATGAAAACAAAAGTCGGATTTTTGAAAGCCCCTGAGGGTGGGGTGGGCTCTTTATACGGGGGTGGAGCAAGGCAAGGCAGAGGAGGTAGGGGAGAAGGAAGAAAATGCAAGATAAGTTGATGAAAGCTGAGGGTAGAAAGTTGCTTCCTTGTTGGGATGGGAGTTAAATGTCCCTGGAGAGGGACCCCCTCACCTGGAAGCAAACTCCATGAAATCCAGGATGAAAGTAGAGTAGGAGGGATTGGCTAAGCAGGGCCTGGAAGCAGCTCCGGGGAACTAGGCTGCTGCAGGCTTACTCTTCGGTCTTTAGTTATTTTGGTTTGTCACCCCAGGACTTTAGTAGGGGCATAAAACGTCTACAGAGTGCAGAGAGAAAGGAAGGGACTGCAAGTCACCTGTTTGGTTTGAAAACAAAACTCAAAGGGTCTGGCCTTAAACGTTTTCCTTGACTTAAAAGGCAAACTCTTGTGCTAATCCTACTGTTTATTGATTTATAAGCCCAAGGAAACCAAATCTTTTAATAACTCAATTATCAGATAAACGTAGCTGGCCTGGCTAAGGAAAGCAAGGAGTTGGAGGTCCGACATGAAAAAAAAGAGGAAAGAAGGCCAAAAACTCACTCGGAAGGCGGAAGGCCGCCAGGGAGTGGGTGGGGGAGGTTGGGAAGCCGAGTCTATCTACCTGAACCTTCCCAGATGCTCACACAGAGAGCTGGCCATCTAGGAGAGCCTACCTACCCAAATATGACAGTTCCTATTTGGTGCCCACACTGCAGGAGAGGGAGGGTACAGACCAGTTTCCTTCCTGGCAGAAAGAACAGGTGGAAGTTTCAAATTCTGTGAAATTTTCCAGGCCACAATGTCTCTAGAGTGAGACCCGGAGTGACTGTTAGCGGCAAAAGGACTTGGGACCTCCTCCCCTCCCCCGCAGCAGCCAGTGGGGCACTGACCCTTTACCTACTCAGGGATTGGCCTTTCTCGGTTGCCTTAGCCCTTAGGGTGAGACTGAGAGCTGGAAGGGCCCATGTGACTGGCGACCCCAGCAGCTGCTGATTCTACGTCCTCAACACCACTGGGCTCCAGTGGCCCACAAGTTCCCGGGACCTGCACAGTAGTAAGAGCAAGGCGCATCCATCGCGTCTCTCCGTGTCACACGCGTGGGGCGCGTTGCCCTGCAAGGAAAGGAGACGATGTTTTTCAGTGTGTTTTCTGCTGGCCTTGTGCAATCAGAATTCAACTAAGGCAAGCATCAGGCCCTCGGACAAAAGGGGCCGGACTTTTAAACTGGGGAAAGTCTCGAGTCTATAGTTTACACAATGTCTTTTTCCTGCACTCTATACTACTTTCGGCTTGTCTAGGACTGTGTCCTGAGAACTCACAGGACAGTGAAGCAGCTAGAAATAGGAGATGAGATGTTGTCTGACCTCATTGATTCTTACAACCTCCAGTGACCTAAAACCCACTGCGTGACTTTCCTTTCCCTCAAACAAAACCCTCTGAACCAAGCTCTCAGAGGGTCCCCAAAATGTTAGCCTCCTTCCCTTGCCTTAAGGTGGATTGGAGAGGGATGGTGAAACTGGCTGTCCAGGTCATTTGAAGTGGGGAGAGCTATCTGTAAATCACAGAAAGCAACTGAACTTTTATCCCAATGGATTTTGCAAAGATCCCGCCTAGGCTGTTGAAAAAGAAACAAATGTACCCCCACATTAAATGAGTGTGCACCTATCTCACCAGCCAAATGCTCAGAGGATTTCACGGCTCTTGCTAAAGGTGCAGGCTTATTTCCTGGTAATGCTAAGATGCAGTATGGGTGAAAAGTTGGGGTGAGAGAAGTGAGATACATTAAATGCTTGGATCGATCCTCATTGACTGGGAATATTCCCAGTATGTCCAGACAGGAATTTGAGACTGAAATACAAGCTCTTTCTTTCACTTTGCATGGTGATGGTGTTTGTGGTGGTGGTGGTTGGGGTGGTGGTGGGTGTTACGCACTTTGTGCCCAAATAAATGCATGTCTGAAAGGGGACACTTTTATTCAGAAGGTTCACGGTCATTTGTAGACTGTCTTCCCCAAATAAACCCGTATAGCTGCTTCTTTCTCCATTAGAACAACGATCCCCAAAGAGCCCAAGAAAAGGCAATTCGTTTTTCAGTGAAGACAATACTGTTAGAATACAGGTTCCCAAGAAGGCTTACTCCCTTACAAGGCATTCTGCAGTGACCCACCCCTGAGGGAATTCCTGTGTTGAAGAGTGTAAGCCAGAAGACTCAACGCTGCCCCCCACCTTCCACGCTGGCCACTTCCTAGATGAGTTCCTTTGAGCTTCTTTAAAGAAGTGAACCTGCCCAATTCTGACACACAGGCTTTGACTTTAAAAGGATCTTTTTTTTTTTTCTCAGTACCTTATAGATTGTGTAGGAAGCCCAAGTCTTCTTTGAAGAAGCTCATAAACCATGCGGGTAAAGCTTTGGGAAACAGAAGAAAATGAAATGGTACATACCCCTCCGAAGGAATTACATACTAATCAAAGTATTCGTGTTTTGTTTTCTTTCTTTCCTTTTTAAACTCTACTTCTAGATGTCACAAGTATAACGAATGTGATATTCTCTGTGAACAGGTGCTGGCAAGTCTGGGAACTAGTAACGTTTTCTGAAAGGAACCATGATGAATCAACTTATCGGTCTGGTTTCCTCTGCCGCGGGAGTCTCGACTCTCAAGACCGGATCAAAAGCTATGGCCTCCTCCCCTCCCCCAACCCCGCGCCACCCCCACCCCCTCCACGCCTCCCTAATTAAACACACACAGGGGGTGGGGAGTTGGGCACCGGGGAGTTAGAAAGGAGGCGAGGTCTGGACACCAAAGGGACTAACACAACTGCCAAAGAACTAATCACAGCGGGGATCCCCCAGCAGATTCCCGGAACCGAAGGAGGGGAGAGGGAGGAAAGCAGCCTTAAGAAGGGTGAGGAGGAGCGCGCGGACTGCGAGAGTTTCCTTTAAAAAAAAAAATAAAAATTTAAAAGTTCGTGCGTCTCAGTCAACCAACTCTCAAAGCATTGACACCAACGTTTCTCCAATTTTCTTCCAATAAGTTAGCGTGTTCTCACGTTTAGTCTCATGTTTATTTTCCAAAAGGGGGGTTCATAGTTTTCTTTTATTATCTGTATTACTAAACTCGAAAGAACCGAAGTGGAAAATCCGGACGGTTGTCTCCATGTGTATCTTGAAATAGACACCGAGAGCCAGTTTGTCGCTCCGTTGATGCCTCAGTTTATTTTTTTAAAGTTACTTAACTTTCTTTTTTTTTAAATTTTGATTGTATGTGTATTCTACCTAATATAATTCTTCCAAAGCCAATCCAATATGTTAAAGCTAAAATTATTTTTTTCTGTTTTCCTTTTGTATTTAAAACATTTTCCTTCTCTTTAATTTTTTTTTTTCATTTCCTGTGTTTTTCCTCCTTGTCGCCAGTTTTACTACCTGGGCCTTCCCCAGACGTGTGCCTGTTAGTGGTGTTGTTCAAGAACATCTTGTCCATGCCTTTGAGCGCTTCGGTGAGATAGTTCTGCAGGGCCGTGAGCGCAGCGCAAATGGCCGGGGCGCCGAAGCCGTGCGTGATGAGACTGAAGTGCGTGAGGCAGCTTTGGATGCCCGGTTCCAGGATGGGGCTGGGCCGGCTGTTACCGATCGGTGTCCGGTCCTGCGCCAGCAGATCCGTGAACTCTTTACAAAGTTGCCTGCGGGCAGTGATGGAGGAAGAGAAAAAAAAAAAAAAAAATCCTCAGAGTCCTGGAACCCAGGCGTACTCTCACACAAGCCCAGAGGCCTTGGGTCTGTGGAGAGCAAGGCTGACTTAGGAGATTCAGCTGTTTCTTTCCCTAGAGCGCTCCCTCGACCCAGCAGCTGGCTCTGCAAGGGACCCGGTGAGAGGAATGCACCCCTTCCACCACCCTCACGCCTTCCCTCTCCCTTCCTGGACCACCTGTATTCTGCTTTAGGAAATTCGCTAGGCATTTTGGCTTTTGATTTCGAATAGTCAATAATTTTTGGCTGATACGTGACATTTCCTTTATTTATTTCCCCTCCTTGCCTTTCCAACCTTTAGGGCGCTCGCGCCACACACACACACACACACACACACACACAACCTGAAAGATTTAAAACCCCTCAGCCACAAGCCTGTCCCTGGCACCGAAGCAGATTGCTGGAACCTTGCATGGCCCAGGGCAAAAACCTGTTTATTCTACAAGAGAATGCTGATTCCATTCGAAGCAAAACCCCTTTACCTGCAGCATTTTGGAAGAGAGATATCTCTTCCCTTCTTTAAAAAAAAAAAAAAAGTGTCCCACCTTTTTTTTTTTTTTTGCAAATGTAAGCTACTAAAAATCTTTGTGTAACAGGACTGTTGTTAATATAAAAAGATTTCTGCATAGTTTAAATAAAATTTAAAGGTAGATGGTTAAAACACAAGGGAGGATAGATTTTTATTTGTTGAAGGTTTTTAGGTTTTTATTTCCTCAAGGCACCTACAATTTAGAGAAATCTCCTTGCCTTAGGAACCCTGTGTGCCCAACTATGGATTGGGCTTATTTGAGAGAGTTTTAATATAGGAAATGGACGGGAGGCGTTTTTAGCCCTGAAGGTTAAATAGCTTGGCTCTGCTGGCAAGCTGAAGCCTGGTATCCCAGAGGCCAAAGCCGTTCTCAGATTGGCATACTTCTCTTGACCACCTGCCTTCGCCCAGCCTGTGGTTCTGTGGGGTGTCAAGAGAAGCAGACCTGTATAGCATAGTGGACTTAGACAGCCAGAAATGGTTGATAGGACATGGAGGCCTAACTATCAAGTAAACATGGCAGATTTCTGTGTTTGAAAGACCTTTGGGGCACCCTTCCCCAGGGTGCTGCTATGTTGCCCAGGGCCTGCAATAAACCTAATAGGGAATCCCTTTTCCATCCACTGACAACCACGGAAAGATTGACAGACATTCTTAAGGCAGGCTTGGGGGATAGAGAGCACTGATAGAGACTCTGCCTACCCTCTAAGGTCTTCATTCAGAACACATCCACATATCCCCCACAGCAAGTGGCTTTGCTCACCCAATAGGGCTGGCCTCAGTGAGTTTCACGCACGCTCCAGGCTCTGAATCACCTCCCTTCCATCTGGGTCCAGACACAAATAAAGTGGAAAAGCTCCCAAGGTGGTTCTGATACCCTAGGCTACAAAGTAGTGGCCTTAAAAATCCTAAGGCTTCCTGGTGGGTGGGTAGGAGGTGTCAAACCACCCCTTTAGAAAACTAGAAGGTTCTTTGGATCTTGTTACCTGCTTTAGACCTGTTAGGCTTTGTTGTTGTTTGTTTGTTTTTTCCCTAAAGTTCTCTGTTTCATTTATAAAATACAACTGGTCCTTACTCTCAGGTCCCTGAGCAAGAGAGTAAGAGCATATACTCACGAACAAAATACTATGACGTGACTAGATAGCACATTAGCAGAAATCCTTCTAAAACGAGGGCATGTGCCAGGTTTTGATCATTGGGAAAGATGATTAAAGTCGTTCCTTAAGTTTGTACTCATTTCCAAAGTGCCGAAAAAAAAAGAAATTTTGTAGTGCGGAGAACAAATGTTTTAAGAGTCGAGGATTTAAAAATCTACACAGCACAAACCAGGCTCTGTAAGCAATTAAACTTCTGGGACATTAATATTTTTTGACCCTGCAGAAAGGGACAATCAAATTCCAATCACGTCTCAAAAACATCTGGACAAATTTGAGCAAATGATTTTTCAGCCTTCCATATATTTCTTTAAATTACGCTGTCAACGGAACAAACCGCGTCCTGGAACGCTAAATAAATGAGCTGAGCGCTGCTGTTTAGACCGCGCCCGCGAGAGAAACGTGCTAGTGCACGCAGTGCCGCCCACTGCAGGCCTGAGCTGGTCATAAAACACCAACAATATGACACCGAAGCCAAAGACAGGAGTAAATCAAATAAATAGAAAACCCACTGTAAATGTTCAAATGAGCTCTAGACCTAAATTTAGCCAGAGATTTACAGTTTTCCCCTCTGGAGCTGTCGTAAATTTTACAAGTCCGTGGAAGATGACAAACAGCAACGTTGGAGATGGGGTAATTAGAGCTGTGGGTAGAGATGGGCACACGTGGGTGACATATAGACACCCTGAGCGAACACACATGGCTGTCCTTCCGATGGCAAGGGGGACCACTGCAAAGCCCAGACAGAAATATTCACCTAGGGGTCTGCGAAGAGATTGGGGAAAATCTGCCTGACACTCAAGGTGTCTGGAGGAAAAACAGTTAAAAGCCTGCTTTCTCTTTGTATACCGGGACTGCGACAAGCCTTAACCCTCAAGTCTACCTCATCACTACACACACACACACACACACACACGCACACACACACACACACGCACGCACGCACGCACGCACGCACGCAAGCACAGGTACAGGCACCCTTCCTGACAAGGCACTTTGAACCCAAACCAGAGAGGCTGCAGGACTCCCGCTCCACAGTTTCCTTAGAAGAGTTGGGTCAGGGAGGGAGCCCAGGATCATGGCCCGGGGACCTGGGAACTCACTTGGTGGCCAGAAGCATATTCTTTCTGGAGTGCAGGTCACTGGGGTCCGTGTGCTGTCTGTTCAAATACTCGGACACGGCTTTAGCAGGGAACTCTGTTTCGCAAATATACCCAAAGTCCCGAGCTAAGTGAACGGCTTCCCCTATGAGGAGAGCAGCAGAGCGTCAACACCCAGGTCATGAACACCTTAGGACAGATATGGAACAAACTCAAACCCAAGACCGATAAAGTACAACTAAAGAGAACAGGACAAGCCTTACTCAGTCATCCTCTGCCTAAACCAGGCTCTAGACAGACACTGCACTCCACCCCTCCCCCGCAAGAGACGCAGGGGTGCTTCTGCAACTCACTCACTTGGAAGCAGGGGCTCAAGAGCCACCTTACAGCTGAATCTAGACTTTTGGCAAGGTATGCCGGCCGGTCTTCTCTGATCTACTTAAATGTTCTACTTAAAGCAACAGTTACACCTGCTTGAAAAGGAAACGTGGAAGTGGCACCATCTTCCTACAATCCTATTAGGCAAATTGTCTCATACTTATAACTAGCATGCATAAACAAATCCATGCATGTAAACCTTGCTGAATATTAATAACTGCGTGTAACATGTGCTTGAAGAGTATTTCTATTCAGCAGCAAAACTGTCCAATTCACCCTGCACTTCTCTGCCTGTGTCCATGTTTTCCTCTTTCAGAGCTTGCTGTAATCCTACTCTTCTTTCAAAACCTGTTACTGCACAAACTCATAACTGCAGGCATGGGGCACACCAGCTGTTCTGAAGCTTAGGAGGAAGACCCTTTGGAATAAAGCACTACTACCTCTTAGGGGACAGCCTTGGGGACTAAGGAAAGATCACAAACACAGAATAAGGGGGTGGGATGTTGAACTATCTCACAGATACATTATTTTGAGGGACTGTGACTTGCTTTTAGTGATATCATAAGAACGAAAGACTTCAAGCACAATCCTTACAAGGTTTCATAGTACCAAAACTGTGCACCAAATATTATCATTTTGGTGTGATTTCCAGGTTCTTCCCTTTCCATCCCAAAGTATCTATCTCGTGTTACCTTGACTGTTTCGAAAATGGGGATTGTGATATTAATGATTCCCTAAAAGCAAAATGGGATATTCACAGACAGAGAAGAGTCAACCACTAGCAAGTGGGATTGAAAAATGTGGTGACTTAAGGCCTCTGGTGGGTGAGTGTGAGCCAAAAACCCTTTGCCTTAAAGATAGTGCTATGCAGTGCCTGCAACTCTTTGAGCTCTTCATGGCCATTATTTTTGAGAACATAAGGTGAAGTCCTGCAAGAACCAATTCCCTACAAGAGCCCTAATATCATATCTACTAAAATATGGAAGAGAAACAAACAAACAGAAACAGGACACAGGAAGACTCCAGAGAAAAATTATCAACCGCCTTCCATGTGGTCCCCTTGGCTGCGTTTCTTGTTGCCCCCTCTACACATTCAACAGCAGTCTTCTAGGCAGCATAGATGATCTTAATTATTCCTGGCCATAGATTTCAACTGAACACCCAAACTGACAAGCAAATGAGAAGTTTCTTAGTAAAATTGTGGCCATTTAACTCACAACCAATGAAGTTGCCTTGAAGATTCAACTTGCCTCTCAATACTGTCTCATAGTGCCTTCCCTGCCCCTTAGTTTTCTCCTAAGCATGGCTGGACTTGCTAAGATATGGATATCTCTTTAAGTCCTACAAATTGGGTGATAGAACCCTGGAATGGTCATGAGTTTTACAATAACCATTAAGATTCATGAACTCTGCATGTTTTCTTATGTCTTTTAATTTTTATTACATTTATTGGGGGTGAGAGTGTAGAGGTGGGAGAGAAACCAGGGAAGACCTTTCCTCCCATCTTGTGGGACCTGGGGGTGGATACTAGGTGGTCAGGGTTGAAAGCAAATGCCTTTCCCCTCACCAGCCTCACCAGCTTTTTATCAGCAAACACTTTTGCAGCTCATAGAGATGTTATAACAGGAGCTCAAGCAGAGGATGCTTCAGCCACTATGGCCAGGGAAATGACCCCTTCTCTGACTTGGAGATTGGGCCTGGTCCCTTTTTGGAGCACAGAAACTTTTATAACCCTTGTTTTTCCGTTTCCCTTCCTCTGCTAGCCTCCTCTAAGTAAAAAGACCTCTGATCGTCTCTCCTGCAATCCCTTGACATCCAACTCATGAGGGCACAGCAATCACAATGATTTCCAGTTAATCATGAAACATGTAAAATGTCAGCCTCCAGCCGACAGTTAAGCTCAGCTACTTGGCGAAATGGCTTGCTTACCTTCCACCAGGGAGGTGAGTAAGGTGACATTTGCTGCTTTGCGCCTGCCCGCGGGTAAATTCAAACCGATTTTTTCTAGCCTTTCTCTCAAGGATCTCCCCCCATTTTTCGATTTGGCTCTGCAATTGCAAGAATTAACATTCTGATTAACCTCAGAGTGTTCCTGAAACAAAGTTTAGACTTAGCAATCTAGAGCCCAGTGGAGCTTGAAGGGGTTTTAACTTGAGGTTAGCACTGCTGCACCCCTTCCCTTCAGTTATTCGCTGAGAGTTTGCTGAGGCTTGCTTAATTTCTGCAATACAGAGCATAGAAAGTAAGTCTTTCTTAAAAAAAAAATCTTCTGTGTGTGGGGAGGGGGATACCAGATGGGAATAATTAGAATGTAGAGTAGTAGGTGCAGAAAACATAAATATTGGTCATGTGCATGCAGAGGTTCACTGGCCATGGAGCCCGTGAGGAGAGCAGAATCCAAGCACACCTTAAAAAAAAAGAAAAAGAAAAGAAAAGAAAAAGAAAAGAAAAGAAAAGAAAGAAAAAAAGGCTAGTTTACAGAAACAGGTAGGCTTCTAAAGGAGAAACCAAAACCAACTGCTTAATGGCATTTTAGAAGGGGAGAGAGGATTGTTGTTTGTAATCATGTAATTTTTTTTTTGATTTTTCTAGACAGGGTTTCTCTGTGGCTTTGGAGCCTGTCCTGGAACTAGCTCTTGTAGACCAGGCTGGCCTCGAACTCCCAGAGATCCGCCTGCCTCTGCCTCCGGAGTGCTGGGATTAAAGGCGTGTGACACCACCGCCCGGCTCATGTAATGTTTGTTATGATAGCAACAATACCAACACTTTTGAGCTTGCTAGTATGATAAACACTTTGTCTTCACTATCACAATTCATAAATTTTATACACTCATGTTTAGGAATTGAATTAAAACATCCCCCACTCTGGAAGCTGGGGTATGGTGGTGCATACCCAGCACTTGGGAGGCGAAGAAAGGCATATGTCTGAGTTCCAGGCTAACCTGGTCTACAGAGTGAGTTCTTGGTTCTAGGACTGCCTGGGATACACAGAGAAACCTTGTCTCAAAAATCAATGATGATGATGATGATGATGATGATGATGATGATGTTGATAAACAACTATCATCATCCTGACTCTGAACTGAAAAGACCAACTTGAAAATCAACAAGGACAGAGCAAGTAAATTTACAGTAAGACGTGTTCTGGGTCACAACAACAGCATTAGCTTCCCTCTAGGCTCCCATGTCCTCTAAGGGCTGAATAAAAATAAAAGGAAAGTGGTTACCATGCATGAAGCATATTGCTCTGCTTCTCGCCAGTCAGTTTTAGGAAAGAACGGGATAGTGAACATCTCAAGTGGGTTGACTTCAGAAAGTTCTGTCTCATATAAAGTCACTTAACCAGGGCAGTGCCGAGTGCCGAGGGTCCAGATGTTGGCACAATAACCATTCCTTTCTCCACGTTTACCAGGAGCCTATCCATGGGTGGCAGTGTTGGAGAGCAATTGCATGGCCCCCAGAAAATGACTACTTTTCAGTATACAAGAGTATTAACGTTGTGAGATGTGACGCTATTGCAGGAAGGTTACTGAGCAGAAAAGGGTTTTTTACAAAATGCGAAGCACAATATACTAGTGCATTGATCAAGAGACCATTGTAGCTACTCTCCATCTGTATTTTTAAACTAGTGAAATGGGGAGTATATGGAAAGCATGAGGGAAGCCGCCTTTTCGGTTTCAGGTGAGATGGGGAAGATAGGTTCTGGTTTGAACTCGGGTTAATGCCCCAGATATGAACTCACTTAGTTGAGAGAATCTTGCTCTGGCAAGAAAGTGAAAGGTTTCTACGGCCGAATTAGCTAGGAGGACTGCGCATGCGCAAATAGGTCCGAGATGAGTGGGGCTTGCGTTTGAGAACTTAGCTGTTGATGGCTGTACACCGGGCTAGTAGCTTCTACAGCTTTCCAGTGGCGTCACACGGAGCTAGGCTTAGATTCCGGGTTGCTAGGCAACTGCATCGGACTTTCTCCCTAGGTCTTCACAGAACCCTTCTCCGTGCGTGCGTGCGTGTGTGTGTGTGTGTGTGTGTGTGTGTGTGTGTGTGTGTGTGTTGGTTGTTGTTGTTTATTTTATTTCGTTTTACCTTCTGAGGACGCCGCCAAGGAGAGACGCGTTGAGGCATTCAGGGGGCGAGAGCCGTCTCTGAACTTCTCCCACAGTTACTTTGTATTTTGAAGTTGAGCTGAGCAGAGATAAACGGCCTGGAACCGAGCAAAATACCTCGCCGGTGTTGACTGACATTCCTCCCAAGAAGCCATCTTTATTCATCATTAGAGAAGTGACAGATTTGGGAGGGACAGGAACTAGGGAGAGATGGAGAGAGGGGGAAATGTTGCCATAAAGGTGACTGAGCTTCAACCCTCCTGACTGACAGGACGAGGCATCTGGGAAGGCCACGTGGCAGCCACCAAGTGGAAAGCTTAGGGGGAGTCAGCTACTCCAGTTGTTCCCAGCTGCACTGCCTTCCCAGGGCTGGGAACCGACCCAAATGTCACCATTCCTGTGGAAACTTACCCCAGATGACAGTTCACATGAGTGTCGCTTGCCATAGCCCTGTTCACCACACATCAGGGAAACACTCAACCTCGACTTTGGATCACCGCTGTGAATCTAGGCAAAGCCTATTATGTCGCCTGCTTCTAGTGTGACCTTGAACATTGCGCAGACTCCTGATCTCAGTTTCCTCATCAGCCCTCCCAGGATAACACTGTCTCATTAGTACTTGAGAGTGAAGATTAATTTCGCCGTTCTCTGGGATCAAATGTTAATGTCCATGATCTTTAGAGGAATTTCTCCTCTCTGACTGGACCCAAACCTGTGGCCATCACTAAAGATGGGGGTGGGGAGGTGAGGCTGGCAAAGAGCTGCCCCTCCCCCCCCATAATGTAACCTATTTTTTCCCTGGCATAAAAACCACAGCGAGATCCATTTAGAAACGTACCCAAATGCTCATCTCCAGTGAGAGCAATTCAGCAGCGACTTGAGACCTGAGTTTTGTTTACAAATTAAAGCACCGGCTCGTGATTGTTTGAGCAGTTATGATTTACAACAGGTGCCCTGATCAATCAACCAATCACTGTAATTCGTGTGAGCGGTGGCGGTCTTGCCTTGCCCCAGTTGTTTCGTTTCAGCGAGTAATTGATAACAAACCACACTCCAGGTATGTTTTATGCAGCAGCTAATAAGAGCTGACAGCTGGTTGCCACTGCTACCCTGGTGCATTCCGCCTGTATTTAGGCTAAATTGTGTTTCCGTGTCATCTGCATGTCAGGAAGAGGCTGAGCCAGGTGGAAGGCTGGGGAACACTGTCCTGGCAGGCGTGCCGTTTGGACTTCTCCTGATTTGTCCTACTTCTCCCATGCTCCTTTCTTACAAAGAGAATTCATGGAAATATATATCTAGTATCTAGTATGGAAAGAAAGGTAACCTGCCCCGCTGGTCTAATCACGTCCACGTCCCACTCTATAAACCGGGGCGGAAAAGAGGCATGCTACCACGTGAGGTCTAGGATTTTATGGGAAAAGATGTCTAACTTCTCTTCGGCAGGACAGATAAGAGAAGGCTGTGTTTCTCTTTCAGCTGACGTTTTACGTCACAGATTTCAGCATTCAGACTCCACGGTTATTGAGAGAGTTCCAAAAGTTAGGTGCTTATTAATTTAACTTGGTGTATTCCAAAACCTGGTGAAAAGCAGCTTCTGTAAGGGACTGAATTTAGACACTAAAGCACTCCCTTTGACACTTCTTGATTGACACACTGGAATTTCAAGACCCGTTGTGGATGTCCTAGACCTGGTCTAGTTGGAGGAATAAGGTTAGAAAACAGTTCATCTTCCGCACTGTCATGGGGTAGAGGGGCACAGTCCAAAGCAGTTTTGATTTTCTGGACACCCTGCCCATAGTTTCTCTGGGGACTGCTACCCATTTGAGAATAAATCAGCAAAATGTTAAAAGTGTTTTCATCAACCTGAGTAACCCTTGGAATTCATAAATCTCCTTGTAATTGGGTGATTGGGATGGAGTCATTCTGCCACTTGATTTTTGTACACAGCATGCACCTGTATTTGAATATATTCTCATAGCATTCCTAATGCCTATATTTCAGATTCATATTCGAGTCATCATATACAATCTTATACTGGTGCTCAGTGGCATGACATCAGTTTGGGAAAAGCTTCCCCTAAAAGTAGATAGCCTTTTGAAGTTTTAACAAGAGAACTATAGCAATAAATTGTGTCAAAGGTCTCACCTTTGATACTTGGCAGCATTTTTATCTTTGACATTGCTTAGAATATTTTCATGACAAAACAAGCCCGGTAAACCGACAGCTGATATTATCCATAATGACCAGTATCTCTTACACAGTAGTTTCCCTGTTTTCCTATTTCCCAGATACCAAATTGCTTGAAAACTTAGGCCTTCAGGAAGACATTATACCTAGTTCTTTAACCGTCCTATTGCTGATTGCCTGAGTCAGCTGATAGGAGCTGTTTCCCTTAGAGACAGTCAGGGACTCCCTCCCCTGGACTCTACCTCTCTGTGTATAAATGTGCACATCCGCTTATGCGGCACACATCCACCTTAGGAAGATCACCTCCCCCATGAAGAAATAGAAGCTCACAAGGTAAACAGAAGTGTTTTCAGTTATATTCCCATTTTCTATCAAAATCGTGTTCCTCCATTCTGTCCTCAGTTTTCAACACCAACTCACGCCCCAACCCCTGGCTCAGCATGGATTTCCTAGACCTCACCCTAGATATTTCTCTTCCTGGCTCCCCCCACCCCATAGCTTCCAGCTCATCTCATTTCCCCTTGGCCCTCACACCTGCTTAGCTCCGCTGATTAACCCTGTATTTTATTCCCTTCGTCTTTCCCCTTCTGCTCTTCTCCAGCTTATCAATAAACCCAGAAAGCAACAGGGCCCAGTTGATTTGTTAGTAATTATGAGCACACTATTCCTGCTCAGGGAGCCCAGAGATGCCCGAGACAGGTTTGGAGTGACAGCGGGAAATGCTAAGGAAATGGGGCATAGAAAGACTCAGCATGAAGCTTTAGGTCCTGTGCATGTTTACAATTTTCTGTGCAAACATTAAGAAGTTTCCCTCTCTTCAGCTCTTAGTTTGATGGTAAGGTCTAGATCTCTCTCTCTCTCTCTCTCTCTCTCTCTCTCTCTCTCTCTCTCTCTCCTTTCCTTTCCCCATGAATCATTCCAGAAAAGAAAAAATATCATGAATGAATTAGTATTTCTTCGCCATGAGAGAAACTCTAAGAAAAAGGAAGGAAAATCAGAGAAAACCTTGTTCAGCACTAGACTATATAGAGATTAGTGGGCTAGTACTTAATTTCTCTTAAAAAAAAAAAAAAGCAACTTCAAGGTGAAATTGCGAATTGGAGAAACTGTATTTGGCAAGACCTGTATTAGAAAGAGGGGAAGAAATGAACCTGCCTCACACATTAAAGGTGTGTGTCACCCTCAGGAAAAAAAAAAAAAAAACTTGACAACTTTGAGAGTTACATTGGGAAGCAACTAAGAGATCAAGTACCCTAAAAGTAAAATCACTTCTCATGATCGAGAAACTACTGCTCAAATTTGCATCCTCTTAAGTCTCCTTCTTGTGTACATTTTATTTAACAAGGTCAGCAGGTGTATACAGGTGGGCACCAAAATTGTGGTGAGAAGAAACACACACTCCCCAATGTCCAATGTTAGCATTCCTTAATGGGAGAATCTGAGATCCTGATATCTGAACGGATCTCATAGTGTTTTTAGAGTGTCGTCCGACCTTGAGATAGTCATCTATCCTCTCAGTCTGTGCACTTGCACATTCCCACACTTGGGGCAATGGAAAGGAATGTCTGACCTTTCCCGTTCTGGATCTGGAATTCTATGACTTCTGATCCTTCTTGTGCTCTGTTCTCTCTCTCTCTCTCTCTCTCTCTCTCTCTCTCTCTCTCTCTCTCTCCCCTC